TCCATTGCTCCACAGCCGTGCAGAAAACACTGTTTGCGACCTAAATTCCAAAGTCACAATTCAAGCAAGTCGCAAGTTGGCCCATTCAGTCAGTCAGCTTTGCATTTTCATCACGTTTCACGTATCAAAGTATAAAATGTGGTTTTCTTTTTCTTCCACTGAATGTTGAGTATCTCCTCCGTACAAAAGGGCCTCAGCACATTTTAAGTTATATTAGTTTTAGAGATTTTTTAATTAATTCTCTGTGTTTCTGTTTTTCAGTCACCTCGTCCTTATCCTCGCTGTCCTCGCCGTCCTTTACTTCGTCCAGCTCTGCGAAGGACATGAGCTCCCCCGGGATGCAGGCCCCCGTCGCGGTCAGCAGCGCCTATGAGGCCGCAGCGGCGCACTCCGACTCTCACAGCAGCGGGTTGGAAGCCGAGCTGGAGCACCTAAGGCAGGCCCTGGACAGTGGCCTGGATACAAAAGAAGCCAAAGAAAAATTCCTCCACGAAGTTGTGAAGATGAGGGTGAAGCAGGAAGAGAAGCTGAACGCTGCCTTGCAAGCCAAGCGCAGCCTACACCAGGTAATGCTGGAAACCAGCTTTCTCTTAGCACTGCCTGCACGTGCTCTTCCGGGTAGAAACCGTGAGGTAGTCTCATGTGAACAAGAATTGCCTTATTTTTCCCAAATAGCAACAGCCTCTACTGGGGTACTGTTTGTAAATTCAGCCGGGAAACCAAAGTACACAAGAACCATTCCTGCGTTTTCAAGCTTGCCACCTGTTTTTGCCTTGGGGTGTAAATCCATGGTTACCAAAATCAACATCTTTTCATTACTGCAAAAATCTTCTAGTCCAGCACGGTTTATTTTGTTTGCATTTCACTGACCTAGAAACATTTCTGTCCTTATGGAGGCGTTATCCGTAGGTTTAAAAGGTTTGTAGGAATCCTGCCATTGCCTGGCTGAGGGGGGGTATCTCAGGTACCTGAGAACTTGCTGAACCACAGAGCTTTGTGAAGGTTTCCATCCTTCACTGAACGTTTCCTGCTTCATTCGGTGAAGCAGCTCCTTATTTCTGGCAATCCTTGGTGCGTAAGTCAGACCAAAGAGTGGGCAGGGAAA